AGTAACTTAAAAATGAATTCAAAAGACTTTTATCAACGGATGCCTAGAACTTTAACAACGTCACTAGTGACACAAAGTTGAATTCCGAGATTGATTATAACCTTTTAGAAAACGCATTCAATGATACACAAGTCAATGAATATGTTACGAAAGCTCGATAAATTATTGTTAACTATTGTAGTGTATTGTTATGTCTGTCAAACTAGTGTCAATTGGCAAAAAAGAAGGTAAACGAAACAAAAGAAATCGAACTTCTACTGATTTACTCGTGGATCCAACTGGACCCATCAGAAACAATCTTAAAATTATAAAATGAAAATAATTTTCAAAGATTAATCTTTTCAATTAATGAGTAAAGTTATATTATCATACAAATATTTCCGAGATGAAACGCTGAGCATGAATTCTTTTGGATTTACTATGGTGAGAATGAAAAAAAACAACAATGACGTTTTACCTTCTCCTTCAAATGCCTCTCATTTAAATTATTTTCTAGAAAAAAGCTTTGCTTTCTGACTTTTTTATAGAATGTATACTGATTCTTTAGAAGATAGAATGTCAATTTCATACATTTTCAATTCTTGTCAAAATGATTTCTTTAAGAGAATCGAATTAAACCTCTGCATTAGAAAAAAACCAAAGATTTCTGACAACTGAAAATTCAATCTACAATAAATAAGCGTTTGAAAGTGTTTGACCTTTTTCAACCTTGGTTTTATACAAAATTGGACTTGTGTGACATTCACAGTGTGCCTACTGGTGTGAAAGTACGAGTAGTGTGACAATATTACTTGTAGCTATTACTCTAAATACATCCAGAGTTTATTAAAATTATTTTAAAAATATTTGGAATCCATTCAAACAAGTTATGATATCAGATGAGCTATAAATAAGCGAGTCTGTTGTATTTCCTCGACATTTGATTCATTTTTCATGACTTAGATTTGAATATTTTCTCTTCAAACTATTCCTTATTTCATGCTGTATTCATGTAGATTTAAAGCTCTTTTTCCAAGTAATGAAAAGTAAAAAGAAATATAGACACTCACTCTTTTCAAGTGCAAAAAAAATGAACTTTCTCCAGGCAAGTTTCAATCTTTGAATGTTACTGTAAGTCTTTAAATAGTGAAACAATAATGAAAAGTGATCTAGGACACGAAGTCTACTCATCAGTATACACCGTACAGCTGTCAATGTTTTATATACACCAAGTCATCTATTAAAAACCAGAAGACTATCTCAATCGCAAGGAAACTGTCCCAAATCGGAAAACAGCTATTCAGTTGAATATTTTTCGAAAGATTATTAGTCGAATCTTAAAAACAGATTTACAACTTCGGCAATATAAGAAAGTAGTTGCACACGTAATTCACCGCTAATGCGAAGAGAATCGTAACCAGTTTTCCTATTCGGTTTGTGGATACAGTCATAAACAAGACACTATGAATGTTTTATACTCAGATGAGAAAATATTCCACATAAATAAGGTTTAGAAGTAACATAGTGCTTCAGCATAAATATATAAAACGAGGAATATTTTTAAAAAAGATAAGTTTTCCCTTTCCTAATGTAAAGTAAATAACATAGGCAAAATACAAAAGATAAGACTCTTCATTACTCATTCAATAAAGTCTCTTTCAATTTCTTTTTAGATCAGTTGCCGCAATTTTGATACTATGAAAAATAACGCAATTGCAACAGTGTTGGCTCATGAAAATATATTCACGTATACGATTATGCCGGTCAAAGAAATGTCCAATATGTATTGTTGCATCGCCGAAGTGCTCAAGGGTCATTAAATATGTAGTTATTACTTTTATAAACAAGTATTCGTGTATTATGGTTTTCGAAATGACCATCCTCGTTATCTTTGACAAGTTTATCTACTATACATGTATATTGTCGCAAATTCTATATTGGTTGTTCATATTAAGTATGTTGAGACGTCTTTAGCAACATTATAAAAAACTAAATTATGATCGTAGCTAGGCATGATCCAAACTCAAACCCAAACCGTTTGGGAGTTTGAGTTTGGGTTTGGTAGTCAAGTTAATCAACAGACATGAGTGTGAACATAGGTTTATCTATATTGTATTATTTGATCTCAACACTAGCTTCTTGTCTATGATAGCTAAGCAAAAATAAGTATCATTCAGTTTTGATAGACTGTATTTAGCGCTACAAGAACATGAAATTGCATCCAATACATATGTGTCGCTAAAGTTTTGTTTCTTTTATGCTATTTTCTCTATGAGTGTAATTTGCTTGAGGAAGTTAAACAAATTTCAAAAGCAATAACTCTAGCAAGCACGTGTATTATCCTACTTATGTAATAAATCGGAAATGTGTTGTCAATATGCCTACATGAAACATAAAAAAATATAGTTATAGCATATATTTAAAAAATAACTTGTTGTCGAACAGCTGCTTTTCTTGAGAAGAGCGAATTTCTAATTCTTGATTCAGTCAAAATCTGTTGTTAGTTGTTGAAAATTTACAATAAGATAGTATTAGACGATCTAACGTTAAATTCAATTTGACATTTTAGCTGTAGAAGTCAGAAGATCGGGTTTTTTTTTAATAATTGAATAGAATATTAAAACTAACGTTCTCGATTCTTTTATCTCTATATAGGATGTGAATTTCATTGGATATTCGAGAATCAATGTAAAGATGTAGTTATACGGGCTATTTACAATATGACGATAAATATTGGTTTAAATGTCTAGGAGATAATATAGCCGGTTGCATCCAGTCTCATGATGTTAAAAAAACATCTTTCTCTTAATATAGACAAACGTTTTTTTGAATATATCAGTTTTTTTCTTTTCCTTGTTATATCATATATAAAATCGTTAGACCAAATTAATTTTCTTTCCTATAAACTTCATCTTCTCATTCATTAAAATGAAAATACGTCGTCGTATCGTTGATTCTCGTTCACTTGTATCAGACAATGAAAGTCTTGATACATTTGCTTCACCATTACCTATTTCACCATCAACAACAGCAATAACAACTGCTGATTTGTTAACAACAACTGATGATACATTAGCAAATGCAACATTAAAGTCGAATGTTTGGGAATGCTTTGAAAGGATTATTGATACTTTACCTTTAAAAGCAAATTGTTTATTATGTAAAGAGGAGGGTGTGGGTGTCAATGACAATAGGATGATATCAAAATCACACTCACACCCACACCCACCCACATCCAAATCCTCAACACGTTGGTTCAACTGAAACATCACGTCCATCCGTATCTAGTCGCAATTTGTCAAAAAAAGAAAAAGAAAAACTGGATTCTCTAGCTGTTGACGCTATTATTCAAGATTTAAGAGGATTCAGTAATTTCCAAAAACCCGGTTTCAAAAAGGGTGTGGGATGTGGGTGGGTGGGGTGTGTTTGTGGGTGTTGGTGGGTGTGGATGTGATTCTGATATCATTCTATTGTCATTGACACTCACACCCACACCCTATAAACCTAATTTAGCTCAGATTTGATCTTCTTTCATCATTATATTAAACCGATTACACTATTGCTTGCATGCTGGCTTCCACTGAAGGAAATAAACTAAATAATTTGAGAACGTTATCTGAAGACTTAATATAAAGTTAGTTAAAATAAATCATATTGAAGTCTGTATTAATCTGAGTTTACTGGTGTCATATGATTACTGTGGTGACTTTTATTGATCATCCATTTGCAAATCCGTTGTTGTTCTGGAAATAACATGGTATTGACTTAACTTTATTATCACGGCTGGCTCGTTGTTACTTATCAGCACTAGCAACCAGCATCAAAAGTGAATCCTGTTTTTCCGTTTCTGCTCATTACGGTAGAAAGGAGCGTTCACGCTTGACACCTGATAATTTAGCTATGTCTGTTTTTCTCAAAGATAAGATATAAAACTAAAACAGGAGATACTTAAAACAACAAGTTTGATCTCAACACGTATTCGTGACAGTTTTTTTTTTCTTGTAATACTTTCTGTTGATTTTCTATGAAATAAGAAAACAAAAAAACATCTTAAACTAAGGTATTTGTGCTGACAAAGCGTAGTACCAGTAATTCAAATTGAAAAGTTGCTAACGTAATCTCTCCAGGATTGAAATGTGAAACACAACGAACGGTTTCGTTAAAAAATGAGAAAAAATTACCAAAATGTTTCAGTTATACGAATATCTATTGATTATTAACAAATGATGATGATGAAAGATATCAATCACAATATGCTTCAATGAATGTGGAAGAAAAGTGAATGATAGGTCTTTAAATTTCAATTAGATTTTATATTAATTTAGCAATAAACTTCAATTCTATAGATATGTGTGCAAATGTGTATAGAGAGAGAAAGAGCGCGGTAATACTAAGGTATCTGTCAAGGTTCCTGAAGCTGCATAGGAATATCCATCAGTGTGCGAGAGCTTTGGGACTCAAACTCAAGGGGGAAACGGCGGACTTGAAGTAGAAAAGTACGTCAAAGTATCTCAAAGTAGACTACTTGAAGTAGCTCAAAGTACCAACCAAGTAGCCCAAAGTGGGAACAAGTAGCTTAAAGTAACTTCAAGTAACTAGAGGTAAATTTGAAGTTGAAAAGTACTTCAAAGTAAGCTACTTCAAGTAGCTGAAAGTAACTTGAAATAGCTTAAAGTAGCTCAAACTAACTTCAAGTCCAAAAGTCCGCCGTTTCCCCCGTGCTCAAACTTCTCACTCTATACACTAATTCTATATGAAAATAAATAAAGGATTCTAATAGAAACCCAAACCCAAACCGTATGGGTTTGGTGAGTTTGGGTTTGGGTCATGTCTAATCGTAGCACCATTATTATTCGTTTAGGAGTCATTTTCCAACAATGACGTCGATATGAATGATGCAGAGTTAATTTATGTTAAATGAAAACTAGTGCTTGATTTCGTGATAAACATACTACTCTTAATGCTAGTCAGCATTAAACAAGGAATTATAATGAGTTTCAAATTTCAAAACGAAATGAAATTTATTTGACTTACAGTTATAGAATTTAGATTTATTTAGTCGCTTCATAATTGATCTTGGATAAATTAAGATCCAGCTTCTGCTAATCACATGATGATTTAGTTTAAGAATACGTAGTATATCTATTTGTATCTTGATATTAAACAAATGCTAATTACAATTCAACAGTACAATATAAGAATAACTTAAGCAGTTTAAAAGTTCTTGTATTGTCATCAATCAAACAGGATTTTTGAACCCCTCAAAGAAAATATCAATTGCCTGATCGTATTTTTGTGCTCTTGTTTTCTTCTACTTTTTGATGAAGCGAATGCGGTCCCATAATGTTTCTCAGAAACTTTTTCAGTCATTTACTAATGGTGATAGATGACAAAACGAAGACCAAATCACCAGAATGTTTTCGTTCAGCTACTCTTCCATACTGTGCGTAAGTTGCTCTATTCGATTAAGTCTTTTTTTTCGTTGACTACTGTTTTTATGCTTTATAATGCATCGACATAATCAAAATTCATAATAAAGATGATTCTAAAATAAACAAGTAACTTTGTTTGCATGTGCATTTTTCATGGTTTTTGGTAAGTCTAGTTTGAGATTGATTCTGCGCAGGCAGTCAATGCCAGCAAAAAAGTATGAACCTTGTAGCAAGCTAATGAACAGGCTTCGTAGTCGTCCTATATTTCCTATAATTCCTATATCTTTAGAAATTGTCCTATAATGTCCTATTTTTCAGGAATTTTCCTATATTTCCTATATATTTGAAAAAAAGCCAAAATTCTTTTAAAATGAAATATATTTCAATCACAAAAAAAACACACATGCTTCGGTATATATTGCCATAACTTCTATAGTAAAACGAATAGCAACTAGCGCTAATGTATACATATTTTATTGTGTATAGGTATATTCACTATTAGGATTGGTTTAGTGATGAAACCAGGATTTCTCGATATGCGGAAACTATCAGATCGGAACATAAGTTCTGCACGTTTT